AAATTATTGTACGTATAAAAAAGAGTGATGGTGTCTCAATAAAGCAGCATGCAAGTGTTAAATGGTCCAACAGCCTTTTAATTGCTGCCTGAGCCTTTAGAAATGGCTTTTTAGTACTCTGTGGGCCAATTATTGTTCTTTTATTCTTTCTTTTTCTCTTCTCAAAGGTTGCTCAGCTTTGGGTCATCGTTTTTGCATTTTGTTTAATACAATAAGAGGTAGATTGCATTACAGAAAATAATACGCATTAGCTTTGTGTATTAGTAATATCTTGTTTGGTATATTTTTCAGTATATATATTACAAGCATTAGTTATACATCCTATTTGGTATTATCCTATATATAGCTAATACATAGCAAACCATGGTATTAGTAATACCAAGCTATCAATACATATATTTGCATAATTAAAGACAAAATTATCCTTAAAATCCCTTAAAGCTAAATAATATAAAGGGCATTTTTGTAAATAACTAATTTTTTTAAAAATTATGCAATGTATTTTAATTGTTAATACATCATACCAAATAGTGTGTAAAATATAATCTTTACACAACTAATGCTTGCATTACTAACCCATGCATTACTAATACAACATATTCAGCATTATTCTTATACAACCTACCAAACGGCCCCTAAGAGGATTGGTCGTTGATTTTTGTCACAGAGTACAAGCATATCATATGCAGTGGCAGACCTATAATTTAAATTTAATGGGTTCAACTTTTAAATTTTTAGCATTAAACTCATTGTATTATTAAAATTATCAACCGTCGCCGGTAGGCTACATGTCAACTTGCACAACCATTGCGTAATAGCCGCTCGAAAGATACTATTAGTAGTAATTAACAAAGAAGATGATGATTCCATAAGCTCCGAATAAGTCATACTACATAATATTATCATTGAATTTTTCAGTTGTCTGGTTGAAATCAATCGACCTAGATACTTTTAACTTATAGTCCCTAAACCCTTCTTATGTTGAAATCCACCCATATGAGAACTCATCCTGTTATGTACGGACTCATTTTTAGGTCATGTAAGTGAAAATATTTATTGTTTATGAGTGACGCTAGACTTGGATCTAAGAACCAATTTCGATATCATATTAAATTGTGTCTATGTGACCACCTATTAGCAAGAATGAGAAGAGGTTAAAGTTTCAATATTTTATCCCAATTTTTGCAAAATGTATAAGATTGGTGAAAGTGGGAAAAAATGTTTCTTTTAATATTAAAACTGATACTAAATATGTGAGTGCTTTTCTAATACTTGCTGGCATTAAATGTTTAAGCTTTAAAATATGCTAAAACTGAAATTAAATATGTTATTTTTGGAATAAACCAAGAATGCTACTATTTATACAAATAATCTTAAATAAGTGATATGACATGTAAAAATCCCTAGTATCTGTTGTATGTATGGGTATCAATTACTAAAGCAATGAGTTCTCGAATGTAAAGGAGGAACACAAGAACTATGATTTGTTTCTCAAGCCTTTCACTTTCACTTTCTTGTTGGGCCAGGAAGAGAAAACAAACAGCAGAAAGAAGTTTTTAAAAAAGAAAAAACAGAATCTTGCGTATGGAAAGGTGATAGAATCCATCGGATCTTCTACTGTAAATGACATGCAATGAGAGAATATGGAAATTGAGAGAGAAGAAGAAGAATTGTTACTGTTCGATTGATTTCAATACAAAAGGAAGGGGTTATTTTATATTGTTGGTTAGTGGTTGACAGTTGTACCTAACTAACCACTTAACTGACTAACCTCCTCTAATTACACAATACACACACATATACTGTTGTACATATACGAATACAGCTATGTATTCAATATTCTCCCTCAAGCAGGAGGGTGAAAAGGATCAAACACTCCGAGCTTGGATAAAAAGAAATAATGTTGTGTTGAACCAAGGCCTTTTGTCATTAAATCAGCTAGTTGTAGGCTTGTAGGATTGTAGTGAGGACTGATCAATCCTACCTTGATCTTTTCACGAACGAAATGGCAATCGATCTCGATGTATTTGGTTCGCTCGTAGAATATTGGATTGGCAGCTATTTGTAAAGCTGCATTGCTATTACAATACAAATTGACTGGAACATCAACTGCAACTTGCAACTCCTTGAGCAATCCTAGTACCCCAAGTAATTTCTGCAGCTACTGTTGCAAGACTGTGATACTCAGCCTCTGCTGAACTCCTGCTAATTGTAGGTTGCTTCTTTGATTTCCACGAGAGCAGGGAATCCCCAAGTTTGACAATTTAACCAGTTACTGATCTCCTGGTGTTTGGACACCCTACCCAATCAGAGTCACAATATACAGAAAGGTGATTTATGGGAGAGTTATGCAGAAGAATACCAAGGCCTAAGGCACCTTTAACATATCTGACCACTCGCACAACTGCATCCCAATGGGATTGTTTGGGATGCTGCATAAATTGACTTAATACCTGGACTGCAAAACATAAATCTGGTCTGGTAACTGTTAGGTAAAGAAGCTTTCCAATGAGTCTTTGTTAGCTTCCTACATCCTGCAATTTTGCATCTCCAGCATGCCCAACATGTGTGTCATAATCAATGGTTGTTAACTTCTGATTGAGCTCTACAAGTGTGTTAATAGGTTTAGCAGCTGCAAGTCCAACATATGATATTAATTGAAGTGCATACTTCCTTTGAGTAAGAAGCACTCCTTTGTTTGACCTCAAAACTTCAATCTCGAGAAAATACCTAAGTTTGCCTAGATCTTTCACCTTGAATGAACTATGTAATGTCTGTTTGGATACCTCTACAAGAACAGGATTGTTTCCAGTGATGAGCAAGTCGTCTACATAGACTAAGATAATGACAATATTTGATCCATCCCTTTTTATGAACAATGAGTGATCATAAGGACTTTGTGTATAACTAGATGCTAATAGTGCCTCAGTTAATTTAATATTTCACTGTCTTGAAGCCTACTTTAACCCATACAAAGATTTCAGCAGCCTACATACCTTCTGCTCCCCCTGCTTGTGGAACCCTTGAGGCAAGCACCTGTAGACCTCTTCATAAAGATCACTCTGCAAGAAAGCATTATTTGCATCCATTTGGAATAGATTCCATCCCTTAGAGGCTGCTATACTGATGATGGTCTTGACAGTGACCATCTTTGCAACAGAAGAGAATGTTTCATGATAGTCCAACCCATCCTGCTGTGTGTAACCTTTTGCTACCAGCCTTGCTTTAAACCTTTCTACTTCCCCATTTGCCTTATATTTAATTTTGAACACCCATTTTGAGCCTATAGCTTTCTTCCCGGGAGGAAGATCTACCACTTCCCGGGTTACATTATCTTCAAGTGCTTTAATTTTTACTTCCATTACTTCTACCCAAGCTTTGCCAAGACAAGCTTCTTTGAAGGACTTAGGTTCAGTAGGTTCTAAGTACGATCCTAAAAAGGATTTGTAGTTCTTAGAAAGGTGATCATAGGTGATGAAATTGGAGATAGTGTAGGGTGTATCCTTGGTTGATTTGACTGTATTACATAATCTTTGAGCCAAATAGAAGATTTGGAAGTTCTGCCAGACTTTCTAGTATTCACTGCAGGTATAAGATGTTCTTGATGTGTTTGTTCTTCAGCTGGTGTTCCCACTGAGTAAGGTGCTAGTTCTACTTAGTTTGCATCTAATACTTCAGCATGGTCTGCATCTGGTTCCTGCAAGAGTAGTGCAGGAGATTCTACTTGGGGCTCTAGTGTGGCTGAAGGTGGAACTGCTGGTGGTGATACAGGTGGTTCTGACGCAGCTTATTCAACAAATGAATTGTGGCAGGAGCATTGCTACAATGTGGAGTATTGCTATGATCAGGCTGAGTTGTCTCTTCAGGAGTAACCCCTCACTGGCTCACAAGGAAACATATCTTCATTTGCATATGTTTCTTCTTTAAATGGAAAGAGATGTTCTTTGAATGTGACATCTCTACTCACTATTACTCTTTTAGAGTCTAAGTCATATAACTTATACCCCTTTTGAGTCTCTGAGTATCCTATAAGGACACATTTCTTTGCTCTAATTGTAAATTTATCTCCTCTTGGTAGGTTGCTTGCAAAACATAAACAACCAAATACCTTTAGATGGTCCAGCTTGGCAGGTTTGTTATGCAACATCTCATAAGGACACTTCTTTTCCAAAGCCTCAGTAGGCAATTTGTTAATCAAATATACAGCAGTTTTGATACAGTCTCCCCAGAATCTAAGTGGTATTGAACTCTAAAATTTCAGAGCCCTTGCAACTTGTAAAATGTATATGTTTTCTTTCCATAAATTTATTTTGCCGTGGAGTGTATGGGAAACTGCTTTGATGTATGATTCCAAGGGAAGCCAATAATTCATTACACTGAGAGTTAAAGAATTCAGCACTATTATATGTCATCAGCACCTTAATTCCAACATCAAACTGATTTCTTATCATTGCAACAAAGTTCCTTATTTGTGCGACTCCGTATGAGGACCTCCTTCTCTTCTGTCCGCTCTCCATTCACACGATTCTCAAAGTAGAGGAGACAATAGCTACTTCACATTTAGACTGAATCAAGCATACTTAAGGGTACCTATATAGTCATCCACAATAGTGACAAAGTAATATTTTCTATCATAGGTAGGAACTTTGTGAGGCCCTCACATATCAAGATGGACTAATTGAAAATAGCAAGTAGATTTACTATTGCTAATAGGAAATTTTAACCTACATTTCTTAGCCAAAGGACAAACTTCACAGTTTTGTTGAACCTGAGAATCAACGTTATTCCTAATAGTTGGTATATTCTACATTGCCTTTGTTGATGCATGTCTTAGTCTCAGATGCCAAAGCTCACTGTTAATTCCTTGATGCACAAAAAATCCTATTGCTGCTAGTGTTATTATGTTTTCCTTTAGTAGAAACAATTCATTGTGCTCTTTACCAATTTCTATCACCCTGCCACTATAAAGATCCTGAAATATACAAAAAATCAGGGAAAAGTGATAGAACACCACAGATTTTCGGTGAGTTTAGACACTGATATATAGTAGATTGAACTTAAAATTTTGCACATACAACACATTCCTCACTTTCTTATTTTTTAATATAGTTGTATTTCATGTGTTAGTGATTTTGACTTGTTTCCTGTAGGCACCTGCACTCCTTGTCTCCCAGCACTTTTAACATCCTTTAGAACATCCTTGCAGTAGGTGACATGATAAGTTGCCCCTGAATCTATCATCCAATCACACATATCTATACTAGACAATAGAGAAATTATACATGTCATATTTGTAGAACATTCCCCTGCATTAGGCTTTGACAGCAGATTGACCAATTGTTTGTACTGCTCTTCTGTAAAAAATGGCTTGGTGTTTGAATTGTTGGCATTGTTCTTTCTTCCTTTGCAGTAGTTGTATTTGCATCATTATTGGCATATGCCTTTCCTCCAGCTGTCTGATTCTTCTTTTTTGATTTTGAAATCAGGTAGATATCCAATTATCTTAAAGCAAGTCTCCTTCAGATGCCCTTTATACCTACAATACTCACATATTAAGCTAGGTTTTCTAGGTCTAAAGTCTTGACATTTTTCTGCTAACATTGTGAGTGGATCTCTATGCGTATCTGTGACACCTAAGGTCCTCTAACTCTCCTCTGGACTAACTATAGCATACGCCTCATTAATAGTCAGAACTGGACTTTTTGCCAACACATTATTGCGTATATTGCTGTAACTTTTATTTAATCTCATAAGAAATTGCAACAGCCTTATGTTTTTCAAATGATCTACAGAAGGTCTAGATTTCTCACAATCACAAGAGGGCAAAGGGGATAATACATCAAGTTAATCCCATAAATCCTTCATTTTCGAATAATAGCTGGTGACAGAATCCATACCTTGCCTTAGAGTCGCAATTGCACTCCACAGATGATAAATTTTGGTGAGATTAGATCTGTCAAATCTCTCCTGAAAATCGCTCCAAACTTTCTTCGCATTTGACGTGTACACAATACTCTGCATCAATTCACTTGATACGGTGCTTCCAATCCATGACAACACAATAGCATTGCATTTTTTCCATTGCTCTGCCAATTCTCTTTTGTAATTATTTTTTACACAAGTACCATCTACAAAACCAAGCTTGCTCTTTCCTCGTAGTGCTAACTTCATCGCTCTTCTCCAAAGGGCATATTTTTCTGGTCCTGTAAGTTTGAGCGGTATCAATACGAGTCCTGGAGCATCTCCAACTTGTAAAAATAGCGGATGATTGTGGTTAAGCGAAGCAACATCATTTTCGTCCATGGCTGCTCAAAAAATAAGCTTTGTTAGTGCTTTGTTCCTGATTACCGGCGGAGCTTAGATCTGAGCTGTAAATCCTAAGACCGGTGCTCTGATACCATGATAGAATCCATCGGATCTTCTACTGTAAATGACATGCAATGAGAGAAGATGGAAATTGAGGGAGAAGAAGAAGAAAAACTGTTATTGTTCGATTGATTTCGACACAAAGGGAAGGGGTTGTTTTATATTGTTGGTTAGTGGTTGAAAGGTATACCTAACTAACCACTTAATCGACTAACCTCCTCTAATTATACAATACATACATATACGGCTGTACACAGCTATGTATTCAATAAAAGGGGAGAAAAGATTATTGTCTACTTTTATTTTGACAAAGATAGATTTTAGTTTTGGGTGGGACGTGGGGTCTGTTGAAGAGAAGACATTTGCACTGTTGCCACCCTTTTACACAGAAAAGGTTGGCGTTGTAGTGACTTTCCTAGACCAGGGAGCTAGGCACAACTTTGTGACTTTTGCTTAAAAGATGGGTCCTTGATTGAAACAACTAAGGATTTGAAATTTTGAATGGCCCCTCATTTATAACCCTCACGTATTCACGTGAACCCATAGAATTCTCCAACGTTGTTTAGGTACGACAATAATTATTCGTATTTCTGGTTAATTTAAGTTGATCCAATACACTTTCGACTTCATATTGTTTTCAGGACTCATTTTACGCCACAACAGCATTGAGATCGGGAAATTTGATTATTATAGTATATGCAGCTCATGAGCTTAGATAGGAGTAATTTACTAATTAAGTTACCGGTTGTATAGTTTGAATAATGATTACTTTTCACATCCAGGAAAATATTATATTATAGAAAACTACCAATTATGTCCATTTATAAGTAGCTTATTACAAGAATTAGTCAATTCATAAAATATTACTAATATTAGTCAATTAACTATTTGTGGCAAAACAAAGTTAAATTTTTGTTTTCTTTTGAGTGGGTGCTATTAGAATAGATTGGGTACATCTTAAGGAGCTTGAATCTCAGTTTTGGGATGATTTGGTGGAGTTTTGAGTTGGTTTGAATTGAAAATTCGAAGTTGAAGATGAACACACACAAAAAAATGATATGCATATCGCACTGTGTATCATATTTATATCAAATTTGTATCACATGTATATCCATGTATACTTGTGTGTGAGATACATGCGTGATACATGTTTGATACATGTGTCGCAGAAGAATTTTTTTGAACTCGATTTTAACTACGAATTCTGATACCAAATCAGTCTAAATCACCTCCAATCTTCCTTAAATTTTGTATATTGACTCATCTATGTGTTTTCAATAAATTTCAACCATATCCATTGAATAACGTCCTTTTTTGCTTAGATTTTTGGAAATCGTGTATTATAAATAAAGTTTTTTGTATTTCAACGCCTTATTTGCTACCCCATCCATGAAATTTCTTTTCCGTCTTGCACTTAATGTTGTTAATCACACTTAAAAATATGGAAGGAGATCTTTGCGTATGATTCTTGGAGAGAAAAAACCGTATTTATTTGGGATTTCAATTTTTATAGGTGTTTGACTAGATTTGGTAAGTCTATGATTAATGGTCAGAGGTTGATAAGTTTGGACTTATTTGGGACATTTCAGTAAGATTCCCTATTATATTTCGTAGTATATTGAATTTGAACAAAATGTTGCAAAGGAGTTTGAACGCTGGCAGTCAACGTTATTCTCGTATCTTTTCTTTCCTCTCTTCCTTCTTCGGGCTCGTGTCAGTCCGGATTGCAGAATTTGGCTACATTGAAAATGTAACATTGTCCCCTCTAGTGTTGGTGTTGTATGTTAGTATAGGTTGAACCCCTGTCAAATTCGGTATGTGCAATTTTATGGTCTACATAGATCTTTTTTATGATGGTGGGTGGTGGCACATTGGCTAGTTTGTGTACACCTCTATTAATTTTACGGTCTACGCAGATCTTTCTCTAGCTACATCTAGCAAGAGTTGGTTCCTTGCGGAATACAGATGTCTCTTTGTGATACTTTTGTTCTGCATGCGTGGCACAGTTGTATGGAGCTAAAGTCGATTACTAATTGCATTTTGCCTTTATGGGTATAATAGAATAATACAATCCTTCTATCCCAATCTTATGTGACAGTGTTTGACCGGACAAATAAAGAAAAAATAAAGATTTGGAGAAGAATACGGATTGGTTTTAGATCATAGGTTGTTGTATGTTTCATTGTAACAACTTTAGAGTTGTTTTTTTCTTTTTTGGATAAGTAATATAACAGCACTAAGACAGTACGTTAAAAATTACGAAGTGTGCAAAGCCTCAATCATATCTAACATGAAGTCTACGTCATTTACATAGGTCATGCTGCATCTAAAAGCTAGCAAAGAAATATATTTGTATTTAAGGCCATGTATGTTGCTAAATTTTCCTTCAAAAACTCTATGTTTCTTTCGTTCCGAATTGTCCACCAAAAGACCATGGGAATAGTGTTCCAAAGCTTGTGTGTCTTCCTATTGAGACCATCTCTTCTCCAGCAATGTAAGAAATCCAGAATTGAGTGAGACATTGTCCAGGACATGCTCGAAATGGCAAAAAAACATGCTCCAAGTCTGATAAGAGATCTTGCAGTATAGGAAAACATGATGAGTATCTTCAGGGTTCTTTTAACAGAGGAGACACCTGCTACATAACTGCATTCCTTTTTTCTGAAAAATTATTTGGGTGAGGCATGCTTCCTTAGCCACAAACCAGGAAAAAATAAGAAACACTCAAGGGTGCTTTGTTGTGCCAAATCTTCCTCCAAGGCCAAAGATCAGTGTTGGAAGAAGTCAATGACACGTAACAAAGACTTAACCGAGAAGATTCCACCTGAATGGTGTTTGACCCAAAAGATATTGAAACTTTTTTTATTAAATTAATTAATGAAGGTGAAGAGGTAAATCTCAGCTAAGTGTAATAAAATCTAGATTGAATAGTATAAGAGAAAAACAAGGTGAACGACGCTTCTTAGTGTGTTGGAACCAAATGATTATTCATAAATGCGAGAATTTTAGATGTAAGAGAATATAGCAATGAATGCAATTTGTCCAGACCAAGGGTGATGTAAGGATTTTTATTTGTAATAAGCCAAAAAGCCCCCTTACAGAGTGTTCTCCTTTCTTTTTATGCAACGCGGTATTATTTTATCCTCGAATCTCATTTGTACGAGGACTCGGGGATGAATAATACACGCGCCGCTTCCTTCATCCACCATTATTCTTTTTACATCGGTATCCACAATACGTAAAGTTATAACCAAAGCATCATAGTGAGGGAAAGACAAATCGTCGGCATCTGACTTATCGAAGATGATACTATCTTCGAGGTCGTCGTACCGTTCGTGAGCGATTGACCGTTTGAGTTTGTGTGTAGTGGTGAACTTTACGTGATTGATTGTCGCGAATGATCATTTGTATAGTACAAGCGGGTGAAGGTGGTTTTGGGGTCCTTGAGGTTGATCGCGCCCTCGAGCGAAGTTAGCCCGTCCTCGGTCGCTTAGCAGTTCTTTCAGGTGTCCCTGGTTTAGCATTCTTACTACTTCCTACCGCAGGCCTATGCAGTCTTTGGTCTTATGCCCCCTTTCCTGATAGAATTCGCACAGAACATTCGATTTTCGGGTGCTCGGGTCGGATTTCATCTTTTGCGGCCATTGCACCTTTGTGCCGAGCTTCTCCAGTGCATACACTATTTCTGAAGGAGAAACGCAAAAGTTATGAGTGGATAATAGTGTAGGCATACCTCTTTCATTTTGGTATGGTACGGCATGTCGAGGAATGATGTTTGCGTGTCGTGGAGGAGGTGGGATGGATGTCCGGATGTAAGGCTAATGCCTCTCTCGACTGAAACGGGGTAGTTGATCCCTTTGGCCATCGTTATGGCGATCTTTCCTTGTTTTAGTTTGGACTGATGTCAGCCGTTGGATCGGACCATTGAGGTCGTCCTCGTCTGCTCTTACTTCGGCACAATAGGCATTGTGGATTTCTTCCCAAGTGGTGGGAGGGTATTTTACGAGTCTATTAACAGCTTTTTGTTCGCTTTTGACCCATTTCTACTTAACCCGTTTTCGAAGGATACTACCGCCATCCCCTCTGATACGTTTGGTAGGACCATTCTTACCCTATTGAATCTAGCTAGGAAGTCCCTGAGTCCTTAACCAATCGTCTGTCTAACAGCGAAGATGTAGTTTACCCTGGCTTCTGCCTTTTTCGCTCATGCATGAGCGGTGATGAATTTGTCTGCCATTTCTTCGAACGTTGATATTGATCGTGCCGACAATTGGGAGTACCAAGTCAGCGCTCCCCCTGTCAGGGTTTCACCCAAATGTTTTCAGCAACACTGATGACACTTGTTCTTTCGACAGATCGTTGCCTTTTATGGCTGTGACGTAATGGATTATGTGATCTTTCGGGTCCGAAGTACCATCATATATTTTCAAGTATGGTGGCATTTTGAAAGTTTTTGGAATGGCGTAGGGGGCTATCCCTTCGTTGTATGGTTGCTCGACGAATCGGCCGACGTCCCATTTTGGTAGCAACTTCGGAGCGCCCAGTATTTTATCAACCCTTTCTTGGTGCTCCTTCATCTGATCGCGGAGCGCCTTGTTCTCATTTTCCATTTCCTCTATTTTCTTTAGGATGGTTGTGAGTGTGTTGTTACATGCATCGATAATAATATGAGTGTTACCTGTGTGTGGAGTTTCTAGTTCGCGGGCAACTGTTACAGCGTCTGCGTGTATTGAGCCTTCGATGTCTCTTTGAACGGGTTTATCAAGTATGTTACTCAGAGTGTTTGTCAGCCACTCTTCCAATAGCCTTTTCACAACTGGTGGTGTTTCTCCTGTTGCGGATGTGGAGGCCTCTTTTTCGCGCGAAGCAGTTACGCTCTCATGTGGGGGAGGTGAAGCTTCTCCTCTAGGTGTGGCATTTGGTGTTCCGTTTTTATTCTCCTCCCTGCTGTCTTCGTCGATGACGTTTAGGAGGTTGGTTGAGACACCTGCTATTGCTTTCAGCCTTGTATCTCCTTTTCCTGCCATTGTTAACTTGTGCAAAGCTAGGAAGAGGCAATTATCTCTTTCAAGGGTTAGTTTATGCAAAGCTAGATGAAACTAACATCTTA